CTTTATCCCCTCTCCCCATCTGCTGTTTTGCCACATCATGGATGTTAGGATTTTCAGATTGGATGGCACTTAACATGCTACTGAAGAAGACAGTCTCTCAAAAGTCCTAATGGTGTTTATAACATGGCTAGATTAAAATCTTCAGGACATCTAGTCGCTGATGTTGCCGAAAAGAAATTCAAAGCTGCAAAGACAGAATTATTATAGTAGAAACATGGCATGTAGGTAGCATGGACACAAGAAAGCTCGACACAGTGAAAGATGAAATGAAGCAATTATGAATTGAATGAACTGGGATCAGACATTTTCAGTCAGAAGATCACACTGGTTATTAGAGCATGAAAGGTAAAAAAGGTAAAGGAGTCCCTGCGGATTTTACTCTGCTAGTTGTTGCAGAGTATGAGGCAGTGCTCATCTGCATTTCAAGATAATTGAGCTAGCACTATCGGAAGACATTTCTGCAGTCATGTGGCCAGTAAGATGTCATGGAGTGCTGTTGTTTTCCCATCGATGTGGTACCTAGTTATCTACTTGCATTTGCATGCTTTTGAATTGATAGGTTGGCAGGAGCTGGGGTGAAGATGGCAGCTCGCTGTCTCAAACTTGGGCTGCCAGCTTTCCAGCCAACAGGCCAATGTCTTAATCACTGAGTCATTGTGCCACCCATTAGGGCATGAAAAACAAAGAAGAAATGGTATTGCTTTTATAACTATGAAGGACATAACAAGAACAGTACTTGGCTACAATGCAATCAATGATCAACTAACATTGGCTGATTTCACGGACAACCATTTAATATGATGATCACTCAAATTTAGGCTCCAACCACTGATGGTGCAGAGGAAGAGGAGGTGGATGACTTGATTAAGTTCAATTTGAGATTGAAAGAACACGTCAACAAGATGTGCTGCTTGTGATTGGAATGCATAAGTGGAAACACGAAAGACAAAAATGTAGTTATATTGTATAGCTTCAGGAATTAAAATGAAGTAGGAGTCTGGCATCAATTTCTGCCACTCTGATGATTTCTTCATAGCTAACATTGTCTTCAGACTACCAAAACCAGGCCTCTATATATGAACTTTACCAGATGGAATTCAGTATACAGAAATATATTTTACTATGTTTTGGCTAAAAGAAGGTTGAGGAACTCAATTACAGCATCAAAGACATGGCCAGGTGCTGACTGCAGAACAGACCGTGAACTGTTCCGTGTGCAAACACCAAGTTAAGCTAAAGAAGAAGAAGAAGAAGAAAGCCAGTCAGTTTCCACAAGGTGATCTTGAATTTATACTCTCATTTCCAAGGAGAACATCATGAATTGCTTTGTAGCCCTGAACCTCATTGAAAAAAAAAATTAGAGGAATTATGGAATGAATTTAAAGAAGTAGTTGAGGATTCATATGGAAAGAGACTGACAATTATGAAGAAAGAGAAGAAAGCAAACTGGATGTAAGAACAAACTCTGGAAATTGCCAAGAGGAGAAGAGAAGCCAAAGCTAAGAAAGAGAAATCTCCCAGAAAGGAACTTAACAGTTTCAGAGAGCTGTTAAGGACAAAAAAGCAGTATTACAACGAATTCGGTAAAGATACTGAAGATGAGCACAGACATGGAAAAATAAGGAAAGTCTTTCAAAAGGTCCCTCAACTCAGGAGGTTAAAACCTCAGGTTGGTATGCTAAAGGATGCCAATCGACAGATAACCAACTCAAAGGACATCTAAGGAAGATGGAAAGCATCTACGGAAAGCGGTGGCACAGTACTGCAGGCTACTTCTGCTGATCACCGGCTGCCAGCGGTTTGGCAGATCGAATCTCACCAGGCTCAAGGTTGACTCAGCCTTCCATCCTTCTGTGGTCGGTAAAATGAGGACCCAGATTGTTGGGGGCAATATGCTGACTCTGTAAATTTAGAGAAGGCTGTAAAAGCACTATGAAGCGGTATATAAGTCTAAGTGCTATTGCTATTGCTATACTGAAACACTCTACAGTAGAGATGGGAACATCCAGGATATCTTAGAACAGTGGTGAAATCTAAAATTTGTTACTACTGGTTCTGTGGGCATGGCTTGGTGTGTGTGTGTGTGGGGGGGTAATGTGACTGGGTGGGCATGGCCAATTTTTTTTTTAACTTTTAAAACCATTTTTTCTACAACCTCTTCAGCGAAGAGGTTGTAAAAAAATGCTTTCAAAAGGCTCTGACAATCCCAGCTGAGTTGCCTGATCGACAGAGGCTTTTTTTCTTTTAAATGCCTCTGCCAATCAGGCAACTCAGCTTGGATCAGCAGAGACATTTAAAAGAAAAAAAGGGTTTTTTTCTTTTAAATGCCTCTGACGATCCAAGCTGAGTTGCCTGATCGGCAGAGGCTTTTTTTCTTTTAAAAGCCTTTAACGATCCCAGCTGAGCTGCGCGATCATCAGAGGCTTTTTTTTAATACTTTTAAAAGCATTTTTTCGGCTGAAGAGGTTGTAGAAAAAATGCTTTTAAAAGTAAAAAAAAGCCGCTGATGATTGTGCGGCTCAGCTGGGCATGGGGGGGGGCAGGGATTTTTGCTACCGGTTCTCTGAACCACCCGCCTCCATCGCTACCGGATCGGGCGATCTGGTCCGAACCAGGAGCATTTCACTCCTGCCTTAGAAGATATTCCTTATTTTACAAGACCTCTAGTACTAATAGTTAGATCAGCACTCCAGTCATTAACAAGTCATAAGGCTACAGGAATTAATGGAATAGTCACTGAACTATTTGCAAGCAACAGAGAAGAAAATGCAAAGGATCTGCAAGCCCTCGTACTAAAAAAAAAAAAGAGGGACTAAAATTAAATATAAAGTACAGACTAAACTAATGACAGCAGGTAGAACAATCAGCCTTAGAATTGACAATGAAGCTATTGAAATAGTGTATAGATTCAGTCTTTTAGGATCAACCATGAACAGTAAAGGAACATGCTAGTACTTGGAAGAGCAGCCATGAAGGCCTTGGAAAAGATATTCAAATGCCATGATGTCTCTACTTACAAAGATCAGAATTGTGTTCCCTATGATTCACTGTGGAAGTGAAAGTTGGGCTTTAAGGAAGCAACATGGGAAGAGCTTTGAGGCCTTTGAACTTTGGAGTTGGAGAAGACTCCTGAGAATACTGTGGTTAGCCAAGAAAACAAACCAATGGATCATTGAAGAATCAACCCAGAGTTTTCCCTCTAGGAATAAATGATCAAACTCAAAATTACTTCGAATCTGCTTTGGACATATTATGCAAAGACCCAGCTTTCTAGAAAAGTCTGTAATGCTGGGAAAGGTGGAAGAAAAGATAAGAAAAGGACAACCAGCAGGAAGGCTGATGGATTCTGTTACAATGGCAGTGAGTGCACTGTTGGGAGACTTGAAAGAACAGGTTAAGGATAGATTAGGAGAAACTCTTATCTATGTGATTGCTAGAAATCAAAAGTGACTTGATGACAATAATCAATCAATCCAGTTTATTTGTATCGCATGCTAGAAAATTCAACTATATGTATTGTGCTATATTAAATTTTGTATATATGGGCTCCAGCATTTTGCATGGACATTTTCTCTAAGATTTTGATACTGCAAATTCTTATATTCTCTTCCAAATTTTGCAAGAGAGATAAAATCTTTCAACACCCACATTTATTTTAATTCTTACATTCTAAAGCATGCACATATATGATAGTTCTTACCACTGCTACAGGAATTAGTTGGTGAGAAATAAAGTAACCGCATATAATGCTATGTTTTCTGAAGCCAAATTGGTAAGAGTTTTGTACACTGTGATCAAAATGATGATGGACCAATAATTGTTTCATCAATTGAGTCTCCAAAGCAAATAATAGTACCTACCGGTAAATGTGTTCTATAGTATCAGCAGCATAAGTTTTAAAATTTGCAATAATTCAAGCTTACTTGAGGGAGAGTCAGTGTTTCACAATGAACAAGCAGTAACTGCTCATTTATTCCTCAATGAACTGACTGAAGGAATGGATTTCATGCTGATAAGAATAAGAGCAGGCTGGCTAACACATCTGTGCAGATATTATCAGTTTTGTATATGTCCCTTATGGCTTTTTCCCCTGCTCACTCAATTTCTCTCTGGTTGCTTATTAACCCTTTTAAGAGGTTTTTCGCTGGTTGCCGTTATCAAAGACATTACAGATGAAAAGCTTAACTGGGTAATTATTAGAGAGTCATATGATTTTAGGAAACCATAGAGATCAAGGATATGACTTAAGGTATACGATCAAGTCCCTTTTTCCTCTCTCTGAACAGACTATACAACAAAGTACACAAAAGTAACGTAAGTAAAACAAAGATAATGATCAAATAAACATACTTGTTGTACCCAAAGCAGAAGACTGCTTTCTCTTCCCTTCCTCATTTTGCATGGACATTCTCTTCTACTGAATTTTAGAGCTCACTCTGATCAGAATTATTTTTGTTCCAAAAGTGTGCTAATTACAGCTAGTACCAATCAGCATACTGAATTGGTAGGTAAACTGGTATGAATTAAATATAGTTAAAAAACAACAACCCTGAGTACAATGACTAATGCTAATGATGACTGGTCCAAAACGTAAAAGGACAAGGACATTTTTATGTCTCAAGTGGGATGAATTAAATATTGTTAACAAAAACAGAGTGCAATGATTAATGCTAATGACAATTGGCCCCAAACTTAATGGAACAGGGACATTTTTATGCCTCAAGTGGGGTTGGGGGGTCGGAGGAGGGGAGGGAGAGAAGCAAACCTGCTATGAGGTATTCCCTATTTCTTAAGCCTTATGGAACCTTTTTATGTTATGGCTACTTACTCTCTCAGACATATTTCCAGTAATCAATGAGCTTGACTCCATCATCAATAGAATATTGGACAAAAGTGACTATTCTCTGTATTTTGTATACAAAGAAGGCCATTAGGTTAATAATGACTTTCTGAATGGGTCACAAGAAGTGTTAGCAGGTGTACTTATCACAGATCCCTACCTCATGTCCTCTGTCTTGCACAGGACATGACTCACTGTCTGCTTCAGAGAACGATCCAGACTCATCGCTAGAGTTTGTTCCATAGGATGGCTCACATTTTATCTGGGGTCTGACTTGGCTGTATATTCCATCTCCCATCATGCTCGTCTCCTGATGCTCAGTGGCCAGGAATCGAGCTCCTTGAGAACAGGGGGAAGATGAAAACTCACACAGAGGCAGGCTACAGGGAGAACCACCGCTGCCATCCTCTGCATAAGAGTAGGAGGAACATGAACTGGAGGTCCTTGTTCTGGTTTCCAGAGGAGGAGACCGAGGACAAACTTTAATTGGCACTGGGCAGCTGGTGTTGGGCCGCATCCGTCCTGGGAAGTGATCAGCTGTTTGTCCAATGTGAGCATAGGTCTGGCAACTGGGAAGAGATTGGCTGCTTCCTGCCCACAGACCTTTTGGCACAGTCTCGGTGAGATCTTTATCCAAACTGCTCATGCCAGAATATGAATGCACCGAAGTGTTTACTTGGTCACAAACATTTGAAGAGAATATAACAGTCCTCCTGTCCACCTCACCTTCCTGCTTACAAAGACCTTCAACAAAGCCAGGACCTCTTAGAGGTGATCCCACTGTAAAACTGGAAGCATCCTTCTGAACAGCTTGGGAGAGCCCATAACTGCCCACAAAAGGGACATAATCAGCTTTATGGTCACCCTGAGTTGTCCCCTTGTCAAAAGGGCATGCTGGATTTCTGGCAAAGTGCTGTTGGGAAGTACTTGGGAAGCCATCTAAGTCTATAGTTTTTGTTCGGTTGAAGAAAGATCTTAGGCAAGAAGGAGAGGAACTGTTTTTAGACCTTCCAGCTCCATTGGGACTTGGCTGCTTTCGGTCCATTTCAACATCCTCTTCTTTATCCCTGACACCAGTCTCATCTCCAGAGAGGCAAAGTGTGATGTTTTCTTCATTGTTTTCCTCATTCCTAGGCTCACTTTTAATTTGCCCGACAGCAAGTTCTGGTTTGAGGTCATCACCTGAACCTTTTTCATTGAATGTGCTTGTGAAACCTGAGGTACTAACATGTGATGCGTTGTAGACATTCTTGGTACAAGCTAGCTGGTATTTCTTATACCTGGGGTACCGTGTTACTACTTCTTTATCCAAACTATCCTTGCCATCATCCAGTATTTCCGGGTCTGGCAGCATCCCTTCCTCCTTACTGGCTCCAGACGTGACGGGTTCAAAGTCAAAGGGCTCTGAGTGCATTCTCTCTCTTGAGCAAGATATCTTTGAAGTCTCTGACTCCATAGTTTCTTCCTCTTCTCCCTCCGAGTTCTCATCTTCATGCATCCGCTGATAGGTGAGATCCTTTTTGCACAGGAACAGGCCATCTTCATTGTTCAGCAGCTGGGTCTGAAGGAAGCTGAAGCAGGAATCCTCCAGGTTGTGCATACGTAGAAATTCGGCACAGTGGATGACCTCTTGTATGTTCTCTCTGCTGAGTAATAGCTTAGCAGTGTAGGCGAACTGCAACAATGGACCAAATCCCTTGGCAGTGACCTGCAATGAAAAACAAAACAAAAAATAGGGAAATTGCCAGCATTACCTTCAGCATTGCTATTTTTCCAAGCCCCTCTATTAGTATATTAGTCAGCACTGGAAAACGCCTCCGTTAATTAATTATTTTGTCTTTATATTTTCATGTAATAGAATGATCTAAACAATACATTCAACAAATGATTCAAGGACAATGAGATTTCTAGCACTTGCCAAATAGTATTTGGTCTAGGAACATCCTGGATATCAAGTGTTTCATGAGTGCATAACTATCAATTTTACAATGTTTCACTAAAGCAGACTTTGCAATTAGAATAAAGTACATCAGCTATGAGTAAATCTATTTTTTGAAAAACTATACAGTACTTTTCAACCGAAACTACATATACAATATTTAATTTTTATTCAGTTTAGCTGGGTCAAGTTCTCTATTGCTGGAAAAAAAAACTTTAATTAAGTGGCTCTTCAAAAAAAGTCAGGATCCTTGGGAAGCAGGTGGAATTTAATCTGAGTAAGTAACAAGAATAATTCTCACTTTGTCTGTGACATTTAATCATGTGTTTAGAATGATAATTTGGAGGTCAATTTCTCCATCGGCAATATGCCTAGGCTGCCACAACCATTACTAAATTACTCGGGAGATACAGCAACGATTTGGCAGACTGAGTCAAACCAGCCACCAGTTTCTAATTTCAACCCTCTGCTACCCCCTAGAATAAAATTTTTTGATTCACGTTCCCTGTGGAATTTTATCTCCCGAGAATACAAAACACGGTCTTGCACTTACAGAGCACACCCACTAGGTGGAAGAACTGCAAAAGAAGTAAGCTGCCCTCTAATGTATTTTTAAACAGTACAGTACTTTCTCTTGATGAGGTCTATGCAAAACATTTCACTGACTCAGAACATTCCGGTGTGCATTTTTCACTCAAGCTGAGTCAAGGCTTTCAGGCCCCTAAAACTGCAGCATTCCAGACATCTGCTCCTTGTGTTTTGCTCCAGAGGGTTTTGCATGTAATCTCTTTTGGAGGAATTGCCACACCATCATCTCAGGCACAGCTGCTTGCTTTTATACATGAGGCAAAATTCTGAAGGGAGGTGGGAGTAGGGAGCTAATTCCCTTACAACAGGCACTAGGTATGATTATTATTATTTTGAAGCACTGCAGTAGGAAAATTTACCGATTCAAGAGAAGCCTTTAAGCAAGGATTGTTGGAAACAGTAGAGATCAGTGCTAATGGTTCAAATATGTAACTTCCATAACTAAAGAAGCAAGACTTCCTGGGAACTACAAATGTTCATTAGCCAAAACCTTTGCGAAAATTGATTTGGCTCTCACCAATGTTGCTCGTATTTAGAATGCTAGAACAAGAAAACAGATATTTGAGGATCATAAAGTGGTTTCAAGGGGGAAGCTTAAAACTGTACATATTATATGTTTATAATATTACAGCTATACACTTGAGTTGTTGCAAAAAGTTCTCCACCCTACCAAGATAAGTTAGAATTAGAATTAGAATTATTTTTTTTATTGGCCAAGTGTGATTGGACAAAAAAGGAATTTGTCTTGGTGCATTGGTCATATGGTCTCAGTGTACATAAAAGAAAAGATACTTTCATCAAGAATCAAGTTCTAAGCAAACTAAGTTTTAAGCAGCATAACGAAGAGTATGGATAGCATATAAAAATAACCTACAGTATTCATGATGCAAATAAAATGTACGGATTTTTAATTTTTTTTAAACATTGCATTAAAATCAATACTTCAAAGGCACTGAACTGTTGGGGTCTTTTATTAAATAAATCAGCTTTTGATGTCTACACAGATCGGATGGATTCTTATAATGTAAATTAAATCAAAATATGATTGGATGATTTTGGTTTAGAATGTTGGATGAACCCTGCCATTATGGTTTAGAAAAAGAATCAATTGTGGCTTTATTCATGTAATTATGTGTAAACATGGACATTCTAACTTGGCATCTGAGCCTTGAAAAGTGTCCATTTAGGACCAAAATGTCAAAAAGCCTCCTTTCACATCTTTTTATTGTTAATCTCTATGAATTCAAGGACACCACTTCTTATGTGAGAAAAAAAGTTTCAGGAACATGGAAATCTCCATGAACTTAATTTAGATTAGCTGTAATACAAGCAAGCCTCCCTTTTATAGACTTATAAACATCTATATGGAACTCATATAATTCTTCCATGTTGTTAGATGCTCTTGTCCACACCAAGACATAGAAAGGTAGGAGATAAAAGTTCGAATTCTTATTCAGTCAAGAAAGATTCTGACTGTCCTGAGCAAACTGCTCATTTTTTGTTTGCTTGCAAGGCAGCTGAGATGATTTAAAATGAAGAAATGATATAATGATATCGTAACACTAGAAGAGTTATAGAAATTTATACCTTGAGCTAAGCAAGTCTGATAGCTCAAAGACCTTAAGTTTTTCTACCAGATTTTACTCTGATTCAGTGAAAATTCCTGTCTCTAACTCATATCTCTATGAATGTTCTTTTTTTCAAATATATAACTTTTCAAATTGCTTGAGTCATCTTCAGTTATTATTTATACAAAATGTGGCATTGAAGTACAAGTGGCTTTCTGATGCAGATACTTAACAGTTAATTTTTATGCCTGCATTAAGCCCCAACTTTTATTTTCTAGAATAGATTTTTTTTACCAATGGCCTGAGTTGGCATTATCACAAAGTTGCAATTTATTTAATAAAAGAAAATTCTAGAATTTAGTGAGAATTAACTCTGCTACTTTTCACACACCTCATCCTTAGACTTTGAATGTCACTTGATTTAAAAATTCTTTCTCTTCTTTATTAAAAGGACAAAATGTTAGTGTAAGCTTGGCATATATACGTGTATGCATATGTCTTTGCATTTTGTATTCTTAGTTTTAAAAGTTGCCATGTACATTACCAGCTCTCTAGTAAAAGTGACAGACAGATGTGTCTGGCACTTCCAAATGCAGAGCTTCTTAGATGCAAACTTTATCACGTAATTTTTGCAGATTGCAGTTAAATTGTTTGTTTTTAACAAATATAGGACATTTATATCCAGAGGGAGAGAATACATAAACTTTATGAGGATGAACAAGCTATTTTAAAAAAACAAATCTTCATTAGGCTAGAACAGTTTATGGTGATTTTTAAATTATGCATCTCAAATTAAATTACCATCAGTTCCAGTATCCTTTGGCAAAAGCAAAGTGTATGATCACACTTTTTGCATAGATATAGATCACTTTCCTGAACCCATGTCCCCAAGACGTGTTGGAATTGCAATTCCCAGAATTCTCAGCAGCACTGGCCATGATGGTTGACAATTCTGAGTGTTGCAACTTCTGAACTAGGTTGGGCAAAGCAAATATATGGAAAATAATGATGGAAAGCTAGACAATACTACCAAATCAACAGCACTTCTTTCTCCTAAATTCAGAGGGTTGGGTAGTTAGGAAAGTCAGTAAGTTTTGATGGATATCAAGGGTTTATATTTTGGAATAAATTAATAGTACTGTTTTTTCAACTTTTAAAGCCCAAACAGCAGGACGGCTGTTTATCAGAGGAAACAACATATTTTCAAAAGAACTTTTCTGGATATTAAAGAACTAAAATAACACCCTTTTGGTTGGGTGAATAGTAGGGAGCCTTCTTTCCTGCTACCTTCACCTTATGGAATGCAACCTGTTTTGAGCCCTACACTTGCCTATCTTCAGAAACCAAGATTAAGACCTTCTTCAACTATTGGTAATATATCCTGATATTTTTACTGGATTTTAATAGTCTACATTTTAAATAGCCACATTACGTACTCAATAAGTAAAATGAAAGACAAAAACTTGAAAGGCTAAATAAGTAAACGAATAATGAATTCTGCAGATTAATTACTCATAATCTACTCCTGCTTCCCAAGTGTACATCTTTTACCTTTTCTCCCACTTAATTTAAATCCTGAAGACAGGAGCCCTTTTTAATATAATCTAAATAATCTTCAAAGAAGCTAGTAATATTATGTAGACCAGTGGTGAAATCTAAAATTTGTTACTACTGGTTCTGTGAACGTGGCTTGGTGTGAGGGGGTAATGTGACTGGGTGGGCGTGGCCATTTTTTTTATTTTTAAAACATTTTTTTACATGTTAAACCATGTAAAAAATGCTTTCAAAAGGCTCTGACGATCCCAGCTGAGTTGCCTGATCGTCAGAGAGTTTTTAAAAAACCCTCTGCCAATCAGGCAACTCAGCTGGGATTGTCAGAGCTTGGATTGTCAGACCGCCACCATCGCTACCTACTCGCCCAAGCCGGTCCGGGAGCATTTCACCCTGATGTAGACAGGGTAAGAATCAAAATAGAGACCATGATGTGTTGTCATCTGCGGAGCTACAAAGGAATATAGGTAGTCCTTGACATTCATTTAGTGCTATTCAAAGTTGTAAGAGCACTGAAAAAAGTGACTCACACTTGGAAGACTAAATGTTCTCCCCCTGGTCACATGATCAAAATTTGGGCATGTATTTATAATAATTGCAGCATCCCAGGGTCATGAGATCACCATTTGTGACCTTCCCACCTGGCTTCTGACAAGCAAAGTCAATGAGAGGAAGCTGGGTTCGCTTAATGACTGCTTTATTCACTTAACAACTGTACTAATTCACTTAACAACTGTGTCAACAAAGGTCATACAATCAGGTGTGATTCACTTAAGAACTGCCTTGCTTAGCAATGGGAATTCTGGTCCCAATTCTGCTTGTAATTTGAGGACTATAGCGGGTCATCTATTTCACATAAGAATGGTCCAGTCAGTTGGCCCAATAGTTGACTATGTGCCATACCAGGAAGTACTGTGTATTACCTAGGGCGAGGGTGGGCAGCCAAGCTGGCTCAGGAATTCTGGGAGTTGAAGTCCACAGGTTGTAAAAGAGCCACATTTGCCCATCCCGGCCTAGGGTAAAGGCAGCACATTAAAACACTACAAAATTCAATATAATATG